TTTTTGATCATGGAAGGGTATCAAAAACAACTTATTCTTTGTCATAATTTTGTTTTTATTACAAAGGTAGCATTAATGCAACCTTTTTTATAGCAGAAATTCACTTACAATTATACTCTCTATAAATTTCAATATTTTTCTACTAGTCTTTCCCAACATAAAATTTACTCAAATGCCCATTACCAGAAAAATCATTTTTTGCTTTCTGCTTTTTTCTCACTTATTTATTCCCATGCTGTTATAGCGATTGTGGCTATTATTTTTAAATGTCTGCACAATATCAACTGGATATAGCTAGTTATTCCCTAACCATTAGATGCCTGCTTTGTTTCTAGTTGTGCACTACCATCCAGAACAGGCAATCAGTATTTCTGTCTTTTCTTTATTTAACATAATTTTCATTACACGAATTCCCTGGAGTGAGAGTAGATATAAAAGTATGGATGTGAATTGTCTCAACCATTTGCTTCTCCTTAGAAACTATGTTGTCTTTGTTCTCTTGGACATTAAATGCTAAGATCAATAATTCTCAGTCCTTAATGCCCTTGGATGAGTTTATAGCAAAGGAATAATTTATCTGTATACATTTAAGAAAAATATCTGGCTTTAGCTGGCATTGTTATTAATTTGCTTCTGTTAAGTCAGTAGAGCCTGAGTAGTGTAGTGGTTGTTAACCATAAGATCAGCAGTTCAAAACCAACAGCCACACCCTGGGAGAAAGATCGGACTTTATACTCCAATAAAGTTAGAGTCTCGTTATTTGTCCCAATTCCTCTAAACCTTCAGCCCCATGTTCCCGATAAGCTATTGCATCAAGTATTGTTTCTATAGGGTGGGATGGCATATGCACTAGAACTGATTGTGGTGATATTTTTGTACAACTCTTTTAAATCTGACTGAACTGTGGAAGTGAGTGATATGTTAATTTTATCTCAATGAAATGATTGGGGGTTAAAAGAGTTACAGTTTCAAACACTCACAGGGGAGTTCTTCCTGCGTTTATAGGCTCACTTATGAATTGGCATCTACACAACGCAGTGAGGTCTTGTTAATTCAATGTGTATAGAGGCTCTGCAGTGACAGAAGGATGTTTTTGATTGGTTTAGGAAGAAGCAGTGTCTGGGGTGGCAATGAGGAAGAAGGTGGGGTACTTAGATTGTGGCATTTCTCTCATGTGTGGAGGTTGTTGGACAGGTTACATACATCATCGTATAAAGGCGTGCCAATGACTGCGACCGAGAGGACTCATGGACTCTGCTTTCACTCCCCCACGAGTCAAGGCTGTAAGGATTTAAATTGAGCTCAGTTTCCTGGAGCTCCAACAGCTAGGTCTTGGAGCATTCTGGCTCCCTGAGTGTTTCCAGAGCAGACAGCCCGAGGGAGA